ATTTCATATGTTTTATATTATGCATTTAAAATATTAATTTGATAAAGTAAACTTAGACTCTACACTACAAATGGGTTCCATGGCACACAAAAAAAATGAAGAACCTTTGTCTTAGAAATTTCCAAAATTAAAATCAGGACTGAGTGTAGCTCAGTGTTAGTGCTCATGCTTAACATGCATAAAGCTCTGGGTTCCATTTCCAGCACCCAAAGCAGTAGAATTAAGACCCTTTTCTAGGATAGTTCTTGTTTTAATTATTTTCATTGAATGACATGAAGTTTTTTGACAACAAGGAGAGATCAAACACATTCTTTAATCTTTATTTCTGACCAAAGATTGTACTTAACAGCAGTCTTGCTATTAATACAGTACTTAAGAGCAGTACTGCTTTTACTCCTCTCCCAAGGAGAGGCATTCTGTCTAAATATTTTTGGTTCTAAGCCAACTTGACCTACTCCAGAGCTGTGGGAGCACAGGTAGAATGCTGGTGCATATATTTTAACCAGTTTTCAAGGGTCAGCGTTTGGAGTGTCCTGTCTCCTTAAGCTACTTTGACAGAGCAAATATTGTTGGCATATGATGTTCTGATCACTAACTTGTTGGGTTAAAGTAGAGAAACGCAAAGTCAGACAAATTTGCCAGCCTCACACTCTCTTCATGCATTGCAGTTTGTCGCCTTCGCTCTTTCCCCAAAAGGCCCCTAGGTGGCAGTATGACATTTTTGTTTAACAATTCTCCAGTAGCTTTATCCTCTTACCTTGAGAAAGGGTAACATACACAGTAATAGCAGATCTTCGGCTTCCACTTCCTTCTTTATTGTTCCATTCTTGCAGCAACCCTTTCCTTTTCTAGTTCTAAAGGAACTGATACAGTTTATTCTCAGAATTTAACACAGTACTGGCAAAGTATAGATGCTCAGTAAATAGGTAGAAAAGGATAGGAAATAAATCCTCAAGAAAAAGAAAGGTGGAGCTCTGGCTTCCCTTATTTGGCAATCTAAATGATCTACACAAGTTTCCACTGCAACACCCAGAAATTCTGGAAATATCTAATAAGTATCTCTTTAAATGAACGGCTAAGCTCAATAGGAAAAAGAAATGAAAATCCCTTATTATTGGTAACAAAGAAAGAACTGAAATCTAAGATGTTTTTGGCTGCTTCTGACCCTGCCTTGGAGGTGGGTGGGTATGGGGGATAGGTGGGAACTCAAAGTTGCTGCTTGTCTGGGTTATGTACAGAGGTGCTTCTCCAGTTTTAATGCAGCTCCTGGGGAGATTGTTAAAAGGCAGGTTCTGTTATGGTCAACGTGAATCAGATTTCATAGATCTGCCACTAAATCTCCTTATTTAATATATTAATAAAGAAGAATTTATTAGTATATTTCCCAACAACCTCCTGCGGACTTCTTTTAAATAGCAAAGATGAAGATTTGGGTTTTATTGACTACATGGACACAAAAGAAGAGACCTTATGCTAAGTAATCCAGGGGTTGTAACTAAAACTCCTACATTTTGCCAGCACTCTCAAGAGATTTACATCCTCATTAAAAGGAGGGGCTAGAAAAACTATTTGCAATTGCAAGAAGACAGCAGGCTCTACACATTTTTTTGTTGTATCTTCAATTTCTCTGGTTTCTTGATTTTTTTTTTGCTCAATCACTTTGCATATGATATTTCTCTGGGTTTGAGTTCTGATTTTCCAAAAGTTTCCTGTTGACTTCCATGTTCTCAATATAATGTCTATGAATTATTTTTTATGTCTCTCCTTTTGTCCCACATTGTAGGCTAATTGAAAATGTGTTTTTAGAGATATTTATAGGGAAACTCAAAGACAAAATGGAAAACAAAAATAAAAACACTACAGGAAATTGTAGACTTTGATACTCAGAGGCACAGCAAACTAGAAACACAGTCTACCTTCTAGCCAGATAAAGATAACACTTAATAATACAAGCCTATTTACTTCAGTTCCTTATGTTTAACACATCAAAACATATTTCAAAAAAATTACATGCATGCTAAAAAACTGAACAAGACTCAGATATACAAAAGTTTGGTGTTATCAGACTGGAAATTAAAAAAAAAAAAACTATGATTAATAGGCTAAGAGTTTTACTAAAAAGGTAGAGAGCATGCAATAAAAGATGAGCATTTGCTTGCATGAAGAGAGATGAGACTAAAAAAGATTCAAAAGGAAATGGGAGAAGTAAGCTTACAGATGAAGAGCTAAATGAAGTCAACCTGATATTTTAATCCAGATCTGGCTGGCTGTAAACAAAAACCATAATCTTCAAGTAGCAGAGGCCCAGTGCCATTCAAATATTTAACAAAAATGTATGTTATCTGGTGATAGACGAAAACATAACATATATAAGATCCCACTCTCAGTAGATTTATGCGCTATTATAACTTGGAATTTATCAGCAAGTTCTTAAATACTAATTATTATGTAGTTTTTGATAAGTTTTGCTATTATTGTTTTTGGTACTGTCATGCTAATAAAGAGATATTAAGTGAGGATATTAATTTTTATCATATAGATTTATTTAACTTATAATTAGCATAAATTATTTTGAAAGGTTTTTCAGATGTTGAACTATTACTACATGAATCTTATCTAGGATTTTAATGACTGTCTTTAAGTAAAATTACACTGATTTTTAAATAAAGTTTTCTAAATTCAGGGCTTTTGGCATGAAGGTAAGATAATACAAATAAAAGTTTAAGTGATTAAGTGAAAGCCTGGAGACCTAAATTTATTTATTTATTTTTTAAAATATTTATTTATTTATTTATTTGTTAGTTTTAGGTAGACACAATATATTTATTTATTTATTTTATTTTTACGTGGTGCTGCGAATGGAACCCAGTGCCTCACGAGTGCTAGGCAAAAGCAATACTACTTGAGTAATATCCCCAGCCCCTGGAGACCTAAATTTAAAATGGAAATCTCATATGTGAACTCATTAAGTATTCTCTCCTCAAAAATCTGCATATTCTTAACATGACCACTGAAAAGGTTTGGAAACCAATGACCAGGCCATGGTCAATTAGAATTACTGTTACACAGATGGAGGCTCCATATTCCTATTCATTCTCCACAAAAAGAAGCTAGGGCAATTTGGAGATGTGACTGATTTCAAACTGAAAAAGATCCTAAAACCTCTTGTCATAACACACAACAAGGAAGCTGTTAACAATTCAGATCAGGACTAAAGCACTCAGAGCCAACTTAAAAAGGATCCTACTGCTAAAGATGGGATAATTTGAGTACCAATGTGTACAAATACAATTTATTGAAACATATTACATATCCTGAAATGTATAGGTTTTAATGAGCCTGGCATGTGTCAAAGAAAAACTGACACTTTGTCCTGCTTCCATTAGGAGGACACATTGCACATACCATATTTGCAGAGGGAAAAAAATCACTTTGCACCTTGAAATGAAGTCCATAAAAGGTTGTTATATTGCTTCTGGATGCCAAAATAAGTGACATTGTGAGCATTTCCTTGGATTTGATGATTCAAGAGCAAAGGTTGAGAGTGAGCAAAAGTTGAGTGGGCTCAAGAGTCTTATCTAAGACTAGTGTAGGAATGGTTCAACATCAGAAAAACCTATCAAAGTAATTTAGCATAGGCATGACCTTCAGGGTGATATAAAAATTTAATATCTCTTGATGATTAAGCAACAACAATAACAAAAAAGATAATAACCAAAACCTCTCAAAAATGTAGAAGAAAATTTCCTCAATTTGATATAGACTACTTGTGGAAAAACCACAGAAAATAGCCACTTGACAAAAATTCAAGAAACATTTCTAAAACTATCTTTGTTTTTCTATCTGCACAAGGTCAGAAATTCCTACACAGTGTCCTAAAGAATGCAAATTCCTTGAGAACTGCATTCCTGAAAAGAGTTACAGGATTGAGAAGTACTGCAAACTAAAATCTTCTCTTAGGTGCTCAAAATAACCATTAATGAATTAAAGGCCACCCCGACAACCTACATCAAGCAAAACTCCTTCACTTTGTGTTTCTCAGAATTTCTCAAATGCACTTTACCATAGAATCCATTTCTCCCAGAACACTAATTAGCAAACTATAGAAACACATTCTTCTAGATATTTTGCTATAGGTTTAATATTTTCTCTCAGGAAAAGGAGAATTAACATTTGTTCATGTCAACTATTTGAAAAGCTTTGTACATACTGAGTGTGTATGTTTTTGCATATTATGTTACTGTGACCCTAAATACATCTTCTGCCATTCTTCATCTTAACATATAAGTTATTTTCTGGTGACATAAGACTGATTCTGAAAGCACTTTTTCCAGGTGGTATAAGGAACTCAGTGTGTACAGCAGAATTAAATGTCCGGTTACAAATCAATAATCCCAGTCTTTCAGTTAGTAGAATTTAATCAATATGTAAGAGTTTTTTCTTACTGTAAACCTGTGGTTCATATTGAAAAATGATCCTACAAGTGAAAAAATTTATAGAAAATCCTCCGTTTTGAATATTTGTCACTATCAGAGAATTGGCTCTAGAAAATTCCTGAAAAACCATTGCTTTAATCTTTCTTCAATATTGTCTCATTTATAATAACATGAAATAGCATTTTGAAAATGATAAAGCAAAATATGAGGTATTATTATAATATTATTTGACCAACCAACAGGCACTATTGTTGCTAAAACAGAGTGGGAAAAAGACTATTTCAATGGTAAGTCTTTTGGTTGTCTTACATTTACCAAATTGCTTAGCCTCAACAACTTCAGCTTCTTCTTTTAAAGAACAGAAATAGTATTACCTGTTTTATGGAGTTCCTGTGAAGATGACATAAATAAAACAGAGTAACTCGTTAGATGTACTTTTATGCTAGCTTTAATTTATTTTATGTCATTCAAGTCAACAACAGTAAGATGGGAACCTTTACTATCAGCCGTAAAACACAATAATTTATTTTAAATAGGGTTGACAATAGCAATCTTGGATCTCCAATGGCACAGATTGAGAAGAATGCTCATCCTCTGGAAAATAATTCAAATTTGTTGAACATTATAGAAGTGGATGGAGTACCTTTGCCAGTACTATCAAAAGAAATATGGAATAAAGTCTGTAATTTTCAAGCCCGACCTGATGACCTTATTCTGGCAACTTACCCAAAGTCAAGAAAATTTATTAAAATATATAATAATGTTAAATCTTTGGACATGAATGGATAATATGTAGTGATCAATGTAACATCACTGGGATTTGGAGAGATACAATTGCCTGTATGAAGATCTTCCACTAGTATTATAGAAACTTTAGCTTCCTGGCCCTTTGGACACCAATTTCCAATAGTGCTCTCTCCTGATGACCAAAACACTATTCTAAATGCTTTGAAGTGCATCATTAATGCCTCCCTTCAGGAACAAATGACTTAGAAAAAATCAAGTTCAATAAATTGAATGAGGCATGATTTTTCTTTCACCATAATCCTTTAGTCAGAGCAGTCTTTCCCTTAAAACATACCATAACATAGATATCAATTGTCATCCCAGAGAGTTAAAAAAGAGTTTGTCTAAATATCCAAAGTTCTTAGAAGTTGTAAACTAAACCTTTATGTTCTGTTCCAGTTAAGTCTCATTAGAGAAACTCAAGGATTTGACCTTGATTTAAAAATGCACTGAATTTCTATTCTCTAAAAATTCTTATAAACAAATATATCCAACAACAATAGATACCCCTAGTGCCTACATCTTGGTTTCTAACACTGTAATTTACCAAAAAGTATCAGGGCTCTTTGGGGAATTATAATCTCAGTCCCCAGTGTGACTCCCTGTCCTGGAGAGAGACTATACAGGGCAAATCTAGGACATTGTGTATATTAGAAAGCAAATAAATACTCAAAATTAATGGGATCATGTCAGAAGAATCTTGAATATTCAAAAGAATAATCTCCCTAATTAGTAGAATATGATGAGGGATTGGATTGGATTTGTACTCCAATCACAATCAACTAGGAAACTGAAAGAAATAAAATAAAAAACCACTGTTTGGCAATATTGGGCAATGTTGGGGTTTAAGTGTGCAGAGTTTAGCTCCCTCAGGCCTGACA